CCGCGCGGATTGAAGAAAGAAGTCGTACTCGTAGCAGCCTACAACGTCTATGAAGAAGCCGAAGTCATTCTTTGGGAGTATAAGTACATTATTTGAGTGAGTTCGTTCCAATTAGCTATATTCCTGCTTCATTTAATGCCGTAAAAATCGTTCTCGATCTTAATCTATTTTTTCTTCTGCCACTATATTTATCAGCTTGTAGCTTTTGCAGTACATCGCTTGCGAGTCGTTTCTTCTTGTACCAGATATAACGGCACGCGCATAAGATTCGTATATCATGTGTTAAGTACATGGTGACCTTGACACGAAATTTTATTACCTGCCCGCATTTGTCCCTTTTGTTTGCTCACACCTGTTCTATTGTATTAAAACAATCCTTTATTTGTTAAGAAGTATTTATTGTTTTCTTTGTTTTAAAATGGCAGATATTAAAACATTGTTCAAAAAACGTAGTTCAACAAAATCAAAAATTACCATTTATTCCAATTATTTAAATTTAATTAAAAGTAGTGCCGATATATCCACTTCGCAGCGCTCGGACTTAGCGGAGCGTTTTAAAAAAATCGATTCCTTACATGACGAATTTGATAACTTGCAGACACAAATTGAAGTGATTATCGAGGATGAGGGTGCTGCGTTCACCGAGCGTGAGGAATTCGACCGCCAATACTTTAATCTGGTGGCGATCACTCGCCACCTACTCAGTACCTCGGCCAGCGATGCGGACTCTGGATGCTAACTCAGGGATGCTAACTCAGGTGCACATAATTCCAACAGGAGTAGTTTTGTTCGTTTGCCTAGAATAGATTTGCCTCGTTTTGATGGCGACTTCCAATGCTGGTTCGAATTTCGAAACAGTTTACGTCATTGATCCACGACAATCCTAGTATTAATGATATTGACAAATTCCACTACCTGCGACTTTCATTACAAGGACAAGCTGCCTCAGCGATTAAAAATATTACTTTTAAAGACGACCAGTACCAGGTAGCATGGGGCATGTTGTGTGAGCGATTCGATAACAATCGCAAATTAATTAAACACCACATACAAGCACTCTTTGACATTGAGTCATTACAGAGGGAGTCAAGTGTCTCAATTAGAAATCTTGTAGACGCAATTAATAAAAATATTAGAGCACTCACAATATTAAAAAGACCAACTCAACACTGGGACGATTTAATTGTATTTGTCATGACCAAAAAATTAGACATCACAACTGGTCGTGACTGGGAGGAGTATAGTAACACAAAGTTAACAGATGACCCTACTCTAATTGATTTTTGTTCGTTCTTAAACAGGAGGGCAGACTGGATAGAATCCCATGAGTCGGATCTTAATTCCCTTCAAACAGAAACTCTTGTCGCCTTAAACAATGACCACTCACTCAGCATACATAATTCACCTCCTCATCAAAATAATACTTTATCTACTACAAATCAGTCTTCAACTAAAAGCAATAAAAAGTTTAGTTATAGTAATAAAGTACTTAAATGTCCACTTTGCTCCCAAGCACATAACCTTTTTAAATGTCAATATTTTAGAAGTTTATCGATAGAAAATCGCATTCAAAAGGCAAACGATTACAAGGTTTGTCGTAATTGCTTACGCTTTGGACATACTGCAAAACAATGCAAACTGTCTCACTGCAAGTATTGCAAAATAAAGCACAACACGCTTTTACATTTGGAAAATCGCGAAACTAAAGCAGACTTTAATTCTTTGCCTTCCGCTTCGCTTACTACGTCTAATGTTGCACTATCAGCCAATTGCTTGCAGCGTGCTACTTCTGCACATATTTTACTGTCCACAGCGGTGGTGAACGTGACCAGCGCGACGGGTAAAAAGTACACTGCGAGACTACTGCTGGACAATGGTAGTACAGCGAATTTTATCACGCGGAATTTAGCCGAGAAGCTAGGTTTGTCACAACGCGGTACGAGCACTAAGGTAACAGGTATAAATAATAAGAAAACCACAAGTACAGTCTTGTCACCTCGCCATAGAGTCTTTATGCTGTGCATACACTGTTGATATCGAGTGTCATATTTTACCAGAAATTACAAATGTCCTACCAGCGTCGTTCATACACGTCAATCACGTCACTATTCCACCAGGTCTTAAACTTGCAGACCCGAATTTTAACATTCCGTCGGTCGTAGATATCCTGGTAGGGGCTGAAGTATTCTGGAATGTCTTAGGAAGTAATACAATAGCTTTAGGAAAAAATCTACCAAAACTGTGTGAAACTAAATTTGGTTGGTTGGTCTCAGGCAGTCTTTCAGGACAACCAAATATTCATTCTTCACACTTTTGCCATCATTCCAATGTCAATCCCGATCTAACACAATTTTGGGAACTTGACAATGTTTCATCAAAACATTTTCATTCTCTCGAAGAAAAAATGTGTGAACAACATTTCGCTCAAACTACTGTTCGCAATAAGGACGGCAGATTTGTTGTCACAATGCCTTTAAAATCAGATCCCAGTACTTTAGGTAATTCATATGAAACTGCTAAAAAACATTTTTTGTCCTTAGAAAGACGTTTTAATCGCGATCATTCATTTAAAGATAAATATTTCGGGGGGATTTCGGCGTTCGGGGATGTCTCTTAACGACATTCAGATGGTCGGTCCCGTAGTACAAGACGATCTATTTAACATTTTAATACGTTTTCGTCAACATAGGTACGTGGTCACGGGTGACGTAGAAAAAATGTACAGGGCCATAGAGCTTAGTCCAATTCAACGAAACCTACAGAAAATAATTTTTCGATTTGATCCCTCAGAACCTTTTAGAACGTACACATTGAACGTACACATTGTCACCTATGGCACTGCATCTGCTCCCTATCTAGCAACAAAGTGTCTCGTAAGTCTGGCTGATGACACAGAGGACAGTCGTGTCAAGTCCGCTATTCGACGTGACTTCTACGTCGATGATTATTTGAGCGGAAGTTCTACAATATCTGAAACTATTGAAATTTCAAAAAGAGTACATTCGGTTCTATCATCTGCTAAATTCAATTTACGGAAATGGCGATCAAATAATTCAGATATTCTAAAGCACATTACAAGTAACTACGAGACTAACAATATGTTAGAATTACCTGAGCATAATCTAAATTGTTCACAGTATAAAACTCTGGGTCTTAACTGGGTTTGTAACTCTGGTTTACTTACTTACAGTATTAATATTGTCCCTTCGTCTAAAGTCACAAAACGTCATGTCCTCTCTGTCATTAGTCAAATCTTTGACCCTCTGGGCCTCGTCGGCCCGTGCGTTGTCGAAGCAAAATTTATTTTAAAACTTCTTTGCCTTGGAAAATATGACTGGGATAGTGATGTGTCACTCGAGATTGAAACGCTTTGGTCTATATTTGAAAAAACAATAACATCACTAAATTACTTAAAAATACCTCGTTGGGTTTTGCATGAAGACTCTATAACGAATGAACTACACGTCTTTACCGATGAGTCCGAAAGGGCTTATGGTGCGTGTGTCTACATTCGGTCACGTAATAGCATAGGGTTCACAGCGGTACAACTTCTAGTCTCTAGAAATCGTGTAGCGCCCATCAAACCAACGACAATACCAAGACTTGAGCTTTGTGGAGCTTTGCTAGGTGCAAGGCTGTGTACTAAGGTTCAACAATCGCTTACCATACCCATTTTTAGATGTAGACTTTGGTGTGACTCTACAATAGTCCTAGGTTGGCTCTCTACTTCTCCTAATCACTTAAAACCTTTCGTCAGAAATAGAGTAAACGAGATTCAGGAGAGTACATGCAGTCATACCTGGAGCTACGTACCGTCGAAGGACAACCCGGCGGATCATGTTTCCCGTGGTCTTGGAGCCGACCTTATTAAGAACACACCGCTGTGGTGGTCTGGACCCTCTTTTCTATCACGTGATGAAAATGAGTGGCCCAAAATGCCAAACACAGAGAAACATGATTTACCGGAAGTAGTGACTCATTTCATTAGTAGTAATAGCATTCATTCTCATAAGTTTCATCAATCAAATACAATCATTTCTTCATCAATCATACACAATTTATTAGAAAACTATTCAAGCTTAACAAAAATACAAAAGATATTTGCATATATAAAAAGATTTATCCACAAGGGTCATTCTCAGACGCCTCAAAAAGGCGTGTCCGGGTCGAAATTCAGTACTAAATGGATAACTAACAACTTGATATTTTTTTTCTACAACAGGTACGATCAAAATATTAGGAGGGGCCTGTGTTATTTTTTTAATAAATTATGTTAAAGTTCGTTTAAAAAAATAAAAACCTTAAAAATATTGATCTCGGTGCTGCGTCCGGCCCCGGAAATTATTTTTTTTCTTTTTTTCCCTAATACATGACGCTGTTTTGCATGTGTTCACAAACAACTAGATAGTTATTAACTCAATTCATAATATTTCCACACCATAATAGGCTTTAGTAGACAAGTTACAACTGGTTGTCTTCACGTCCGACGTTTGGAATTGATATCAGTGGCACGCACCGATCGGTTCATATATCCTACAATCTAGTGACTTCGAGAATCAACTATTCGGGTAATACAAACTGTCAGTTGCGCTGCATCGGCGGTAAGGATAACACGTCTGTGCGTCTTCGCGCCACTCTTTTATTAAGGTACATAATTATTTTCGGTGGCTTGGTATACCCTTAAAATTTATTTCGGTGAATCCATTTTGTCCACATCTATTTGAATAAATATTTTTAAATTATAATCAAAGTATGTCTTATGTGTATTCGATTTCAATAAAAGAGATTAATATTAAAAAAATCGGATTACTTTTGAAAATATCTAGGATTTTGCTAATTATTTTGATTTCGGTGGCATTGATTTCGGTGTTTTCGGTGGAAAAAGGTGCACCGAAATCAATTTTAAAATCTCCGAAATCAATTGATAGTCATTTATTTACATTTTAAAATCGTTTATTTAACTTTCTCAGCACCTCTCATCTTGTTTCAGTCTTGTAATTATGGCAGACTCAAAAGAAGATCGGTTGGTTAAAAAGAGATTGGCTGAACGACGTCGGAAAGCTCGCATCAAGAGTGATCCAGAGTTTTACGCAGTGCACAAGGAGAAAGATAGGCAACGGTATTTTAAAAGGAAGAATGAAGGAAAGATAAAGACTGTAAGTGAATTAGATTCTCGCCTACAACGAATTTTTAGGGAGAGAAGTAGAATGTCTTCCAACAAACACAATTTGAAAAAAAGGCGCAAAGAGATGAGGTGTCTTGAAGAGGATTTAATGATTGTACCAGAAGCAATCGACGAAACTGACGATCCTTTGGTTACTTCACGATCGCAACCAAAACGATCAGGATCACTTCAAACTGAAGCAAGGTCTCATGTTGATTTGCTACCATCAAGTTCATTGGTCGTTTCATCGCCTTTACCTCAGCGTGTTAAGGCTTATCGAGACTTGGCAGCACCATTGAGTCCGTGTAGTGACGTCAGTACAATTTCAAGGCCATGTACCAGATCATCAGTTCGTGTAATTGAAAAGGAGTTTCCTCCAACTAGAAAGGCTAACAAGAAACTAAATATCAAAGTTATTATACGTAGAATTAAATACCGCATGAACAAAATGTATCAGTTACAGAAAAAGAAGATTGATGAATTGAAGACTATCAACGAACGACAACGAAAACAGTTATATAGATTAAAACACCAAAGTGCTGCATTAAGAAAATATGAACCGACAAGCAAAACTAATACAGAAGATATGAAACAACAAAGTGAATCAGACGCTGTAAAAACAATTAAAAATAATGTAGAAGAGGACATTAAAACTTTTCTTGAAGAAGATGAAAACAGTCGTATGTGTTCTGGAAAAAAGGAGTTCATTACTAAGAAAAAGGATGAAAAACAAAGACGCTACTTAAATGATTCTTTAAAAGACTTATATACTAAGTTTAAGCAAACAAATCCCCAAAACAAAATTAGTTACTCCAGTTTTTGCAAAAAACGACCGTTTTGGATACTGAAACCTGCTATAAATAAACGAGAAACCTGTCTTTGTATTGAACACGAAAATATGGACTTAATGGTGAGTGCGTTAAAAAAAAACAACTTAATTCAAGAAAAATCTACCAAAGATATTTGATCATCTCTGTGCTGTGACTCTTCGAATGTGTCATGTTTAACAAGGAAATGCAATGACTGCAAAGATAAAAGCTTAATCTATAAAGAATTCAATAACGCTGAAGTATTATTTTACTGGATTTGGCAAAAAAGTAAAAAAACTTATTCTAAGAATGGAATTACAAAAACCACCATTCACACAGCGAAGGATTAAATGAATGCTTTCCCTAGAGACATCATTTTAAAATTTGAAAAAATGTTACCTCTATACATGACTCACTGTGGAGTTATGATCGCACAGAACAGGTTCATTAAAAAAATGAAAAGCGATCTCACTGATGAAGAGTGCAAAATTCACTGCGATTTTAGTGAAAATTACAGCACAAAGTACGGTAATGAAATTCAAGCCATTCATTTCGGGGGTAACCTCCGACAAATAACCCTGCACACCGTGGTCATTTACTATCGTCAAAATGGACTTCTGAAAGTTCAGTCGATATGTACTTTATCAGAGTGTTTACGCCATGATGCGCCAGCCATTTGGGAGCATTTATTGCCAATTTTAAAATACATCGAAGATGAAAATCTTAATATTAAAATTCTCCATTTCATTTCTGATAGTCCGTCGGGCCAGTAACGAAACCGTAAAATGTTTTATATCATCAGCAAACTCCACTGGTACCTTCCCAGTTTGACTGCGATAACATGGAATTATACAGAAAGCGGCCATGGAAAAGGAGCCCCAGATGGTGTCGGTGCAACCCTTAAAAGAACAGCTGATAGAATAGTTGCTCAAGGCAATGATATCATAAGCTTATCATCTTTGATGACTCATCTGAAATCTGTTCAAGGTATTATAACGAAAACTATTAACGATTCCGGTATTTATGAAAAAGATTTGTTGATTCCATCCGATCTCAAGCAATTTGCAGGGACTATGAAAGTTCATCAGGCAGTGTGGAACGCCAATGAGCCCAACCAACTATCAATGAGAAAAATGAGTTGCGCCGAAGGTGAATGTAAAAATAATTCAGTGTCGTGTGAACATGGGTATCATGTAGGATTATACATCATAGGCGAGCAAACTAACCGACTGCTGGCTGATAGAACCAACAAAAACAAGAGTGACAAGATCGATCTGATCAAAAAGTCAAGTCAAGCCCTAAAGTGTAGCGGAGTCGGTGCAGCAAAATCTAAAAAACCTCAAATTTTATCTAATATTTTGATTCAACCTGGAAGTAGCTATCATGTTGATCTTGCTGATGAATGCTCCGAAACCAAGCAGCGCTTGTCGCATACCTTAACATCCGACATTGGATTGCATGAAAGTGACAGCTTCTGGACGCGTGTGTCGACAGATTGTGAAAATATTGCTCCGGCAGTAATTAATGAAGTATTCTCCAAAATTGTAGATTCTAAAGAAAGCAGTGACGAGGAATATAACATTTTTTAATTAAGGATTGGAAACTGTAATACAAAATTATAATTAATTTAATGCTGGGTGCTTAATACACCTAAAAGCTTTTTTAATTGTGTTAAAATTAATAAAAATACAAATATTATTAGTTATGTGCCTTCTATAATTGTTGATGTTGTTTAAAGACTGGTTTTTGAGTTATTTTATATCATTAAGTAAATTGTCTGTGATTAAGCTAGATCTCAAATAAGACTTCAGATTTTTTTTAAGTTCCTGTATTGTTAGTTTAAGACTACCTACTACTTTTATTTACATTTAATATAATAATTGTACGCTTCTATCCAAAGTTGAGTTTTGTTTCCTATAAGTTAATAAATGGGGCATAAGTCTTTACAAAATAAAATGTTTTATTGTAAAATAAACCTGCAATTTCTTACAGATCATACGTTCTTGGTAGTACTTAGACAGTAATATTGTTACGCCATAGGATCGATTCCTCGAGAACTCTCTAGAGCGCGGAGGCGGTGCCATCTGGCGTCGGGCGAAGTACAACCATTGAAGTTATGATTAAGCTTTTGGTAGCCGATCGCAAAGGTCGCGGTTGCAAAGTCACAAAATCATACCTGTGCATCTTTGTTTGCGCGGCAGTCAAAGCCGTACATTTTAGCTCGTCTCAGATCTCACCACTGTGGCTTACATGGCTGCTCTAAATCGTTTCGTGGCGCGTCGAGGCAAGCCTCGAAGCATCACGTCCGATAATGGAACAAACTTTGTAGGTGCATCAAACGACCTGTATAAGTTTTTAAAATCATCAAATGTTGCATCTGAAATGGCTCAGGAGGGAATCGAATTAAATTTTACGCCCGCATACAGCCCGCATTTTAATTCACTGGCTCAAGCTGCAGTTAAATCCTGCAAACACCATCTAAAAAGATTACTGCATCTTACCCACTTCACATTTGTCTCACTCATATAGAGGCGGTTTTGAATTCGCGTCCTCTCACTTCACTTTCATCAGACCCTAATGATTTTTTGGCGCTCACTCCATCTCACTTCCTAATTGGACGACCACTTTTAGCTGTACCGCACCCACAGGTGACTGACGCGAACATCACGCGATTAGATCGATGGCGAAGAATCCAGTTCATCCGGCAGCATTTCTGGCGCAGATTTCACAATGAGTACACTTCTCTGCTGCAGGCCAAATCAAAGTGGTTTCATTCCAGAGGTGAAGTCAATCCAGGGTCCTTGGTACTGATCAAGGACAAAACAACGCCACCCTTGCTCTGGTCCCTGGGTCGGGCCACGAAGACCTATCCTGGCGTAGACGGAGTCACGAGAGTAGCAGAACTCAAGACGAAGAGAGGCATCATTCGTCGTGCCTTCAACTGCATCTGCCCTCTTCCAGTCAACCCTTGAAGACATCTCTTCAACCCGGGGAATATGTCGGCGCACTTTGCACACATGTAGCCGATCTCGGTTGCGAACCATCGAAGGCCGGCCGGCGCGGGGAGCGGGGATCGTAGCTCGCCGCCTCGTACGCCGCGGTCCTCTCACGACTCGGCCCTTAGACGCGTTCCGCTACGGGCACTTTATATCGTTTTACACTTTATACAAATATAATATTTAATACAGTCCATATTTAATTAAAGTCCCTTAACGGCCTATTCAGACGAGCTTATAACCGCAGCGTTTGTGGTGGACAAGACATTCAATATAAAATAATACTATAATTAAATTACAATTTAATTTATTAACATAAGTACGTTTTCATTTATTTTGTTGAGTTGCTTATGAGACATAATTGATAATCTATTGTTAGCGGTACCCGAAAGCCGAGCTGGCACTTTATGAATTCAACGTTTAAAACGCTGCGGTTATAACGCTCGTCTATAGATTTTTATGCATGCAAAACTGTTGTGTTTGCAATTTTTGTGATGAACTTATTTTTGCATGTATGCATTTTTACAAATTTGGTTATGCGTGACGCATTTTTACGCCTATATAAACGGGTTGAGAGCAACAGTTCGCTACCAAACCACCACTGGAAGAACTCGGTGCTCCTGAATTTCTACATCAAGTACAGAACATTAGTAGCAGGCTTTGAAATGTAAGTTATTTATTTGTAACTTTTTAATCAATCTTCTGATGTAACATGTTAATCTATTAAATCATTTAATCTATTCAATCATTTCATTTATTCATCGATTCAATCTTTATATTCATTTACTTACTCAACAAACACAAATGAAATATTTATTCATATCCTCAAAATATTTAATAATCCATTAATCTAATTAGTCAAATAATTAATCTATCTTTTGTTATGCATTTAATTTATTCACCCAATTAAAGCAATTTCATCTCACCCTGTACTTAACTATGACTTGCACAATGTTCGTTGTTGCCTAATACTTAAATATATATTGTTGCAGGTCGAACCAAACAGCTAACCAAATTTTCTCTTCCGATGATGAAGCCGGATATCAGCAGCAATTGAAAAAACCGAAGGACTCCAAAGCGTCATCTTCGTCGCTGACTGCTAAGAGGTCGGCGGTGGGAGAATCGATGAACACCGAAATTAAGAAGAAGAAAAAGAATAAGACTACGATCAACCCTATCAGCGCCAGCACGAGACCTACATTGCATGATCTATTCGGGACCGATAGCGACGACGAGCAAGAAGAGGAGACCGTTGGAAGTACCTCGGGTAAAAAAATACCACCATTACATTCGTATTATACCCGTAGAGTAGCCAATAGTATAAGTAAACAGATTGATGAAAACAAAAAGGGTAAATTTTATGTAGAAGTAAAGATCTACGATCACAGTGAGCGTATAGCGCCTATAAATCGATGGAGGCATGCAATTGTAACGGTAAAAAATCGTACTAATGATGGGACACTAGCATGGAATCACATGAAAAACTTTTTAAAAGAAACTCATAGAGAATTTAAGCACTGTCCCATAGATTATGTTAGCAGTTATTTTTTGTAAATATTTTTAGTAATTTCTATTTTAATACTTACTCATTTATTTGTTTTTACTAACTTGTTTATAACCATTATAATTTTCATTTACGTTATCACTTTTATTTTAGTATCTAATATAGTATTAATATAATTGTTATTGAGTATTTGCGTACATAAAATATTCATAAGGGTGACAAAATATAATATATGCAGAAATGTAATCATAATTTTATCTTTTTGTTTCATTTACAGTACAAACCTCGTCTACTCACCGAATGCGATATACAAATAATCCAGAATATATTGAATGTAAAAAATGCATGATTAAATTACCGATTAAAGAATTCAAGTATCATTTGAGAACCAATATTCACAAGAATAATAGTTTATTGCAAAGCGAATTTAAAAATATATACATAATTGCAAGTGCTTTTAAAAATAGAATCATTACATATCGTTTAAATCCTGCACAAGCTACTGAATACCTCACACCGGAGGCGTTCTTGTGTCAGAATAAAAATGATATCCTGAAACTTATACAAAAATCATTAAAGAAAAATACTTGTCTCAATATTAATTTCGAATTGTTTGCCTACTTTGTCTTACCGAAAACGATTGAGCAACAACTTAAATCATTCAATACAAAATATGAAATTATTTGTAATAATACAGATATTGATGACTAGTATTCGAAAGTAACCGAACTTTTAAAATGTAAGATGTCAGAATTCGAGCACAAAGACTCTGGATGGTCTTATCATTCTGTAAGTCATCTAGAAATCAATGTGAATAAATATTGTCCAATGAGAGGTGGCACTTATTTAGATTTGCCCACAAAAATTAAGAATTCTAAAAGTTGTATTAATATACAAAATACTGACAATCATTGTTTTTTATGGAGTGTGGTAGCTGCTTTATTTCCTGCTAAGATGAACGTATGCAGGACTAGTTCATACCCACACTACAGTTCTGTATTAAATATTGATGAAATGTCTTTTCCTGTCTCATATCAAGACATAAAACTATTTGAAATAAACAACAACATAAGTATTAATATTTATGGAGTAGATAATAAGAGCGAAAATGTGACTGGACCTCTATATTTAACAAATAACAGAAAATCTGTACATGTTAATTTGTTATATTTAGAAATAAGTCATTACTGTCATATTAAAAATCTGGTACGATTAATAAGACGACAAGTGACGAGTCATAAAGGTATTTTGTTGCTGTGTGAATCATGTTTACAATTCTATAGCAGTGAAAATAAGTATAGATCTCATATCTGTTCAAAAGTTTTATCAATTTTGCCTGAAAAGAATAGTAAACTAGGTTTCAAGAATCTTGAAAGAAAACAAAAAATTAATTATGTCATCTATGCAGATTTCGAAAGCCTATTACAGAGTTGTTTCGAAACAAAATCTGAAAAAAAACACAATTTTAAAAAACATCAGCCCTCATGTTTTGGATACAATATATGTTGTTCACACGATCCAAGCCAAAATAAATATGTTACTTATAGAGGTCTTGACTGTGTTGAAGTATTTGTTACTAGATTAATAGAAGATGTAAAGAAACGAAATCAAATATTATCGATAAAAAAACCAATGATACCTTTAACAAAAATAGAACAAATCAGTTATAACAATGCTAGTATTTGTCATATTTGTGATCAGTTATTATTTCATGATAAGGTACGTGACCATGATCATGTGACAGGAAAGTATAGAGGACCTGCACATGTTCAATGTAATTTGATGTTTAGAGTTTGCCCATTCATACCGGTATTTTTTCATAATTTATCGAATTACGACTCCCACCTCTTTATACAGGAATTAGTGAGACATGGAGGTTATATAAAAATTATACCTAAAACTAAAGAAAAGTATTTAACTATTACCAAATATTTAGATAACGAGAAGGGTGATCGTCCTATTCAAATAAAATTCGTAGATTCGTTTCAATTCTTAAGCTCTAGTTTAGATGCACTAAGTAAAAGTTTATCAGATCACGACTTTATTCGTTTATCAGCAGAATTTAATGATGAAAACATATACTTGTTAAAAAAGAAAGGTATTTATCCTTATGATTATATTAACACATGGGATAAGTACGACGAAACAGCACTCCCTTGAATAAAGTACTTTTACAACTCCTTGAAAATGGAACACATAAGCGATAAAGAATATGAACACGCGAAAACTGCATGGAATGCATTTAATATCAACACAATTGGCGAGTATACCGCTTTATATTTAAAATGCGATGTCTTATTACTGTGTGATATATTCGAAAAATTTCGTAAAATAAGCTTAAAATATTATAAGTTAGACCCTGCTTACTATATAAAGACTCCTTTTTTTTTTTTTTTTACGTGTGGAAATCCCCTCGGACCGTCACCCCGCCGGGGCTCTCGTTCGGCGGGGCGGTGTGTCGGACTCGAACCGACTAAAACCACACGGTGTGCCCTCTTTGCGCTTCCAGTTTAGGAGGGGTCCAGGTAGCTATCTCCGTCTGGACCCCTCCCAGCGCCGGCCCGCTCCTGATGCGGGCTCCGTCTCAGTGGACCCTCTCTTTAGGCGACGTCCGGCACACGCGGACGCCGCCCCCTCGCGGCTGGCCAACTAATGCAGGTGGAGGGGAGAACCCATCCCGTCCACCCGCGGCCACACTCAGGGCGGCATGAGGCGCAGGTAAGCGCGCCTTCGCCGCCCGGTTCGCCGGCGGCGGATCAGGTCCGAGTGGAGGTCGTCCTACCGGGCCTTCTCCGCCGCCTCCTTCTGCGAGATTACCTCCTCGCAGAAGGTTGCGACCGCGGTAAAACAACTGTCGCTACCGGCCATGGAGCGAATTACGGCCGGTAGCGAGAGATCTGCTCCGATGACTGCAGTGAGGGCCCGGCGCTGCGTCGCCCATGCGGGGCAAACCGCCAGCGTGTGCTGGGCCGAATCCTCACTGCAGTCGCAGTGGTGGCAGGCGGGACTCGATTCCCTCCTAGCGACCGAGTACAGGTACCTTCCGAAGCAACCGTGCCCGGAAAGCACCTGCGTCAGCCGGGAGGAAAGGGTCCCGTGCTGCCGCCCTGCCCACTCGGCGATGACCGGCTGGAGAGCCTCCACGGCGGCGAAGCCAGCGCGTGGAGTCTCCAGCCGGAACGACCATCTCACCATGGTGGCTTGGCGAGCGGCTTCGCGCCACTCGCGCACGTCTTCGGGCGGAGGGCGAAATCCGCTCTCCGCCCGGAAGTCAGCCACTCGCCGATAAACTTCGGCGAGCACTTCCGCCTCCAAATCCCACGGGGGTGTTCCGGCCAAGGCACAGGCCGCCTCGGTGGACACCGTGCGGTGTCCGCGTATGGCTCTGACCGCCAATATCCTCTGGGGGCGCCAGAGGCGCGCCCTATTCGGGGCAGTCAGAGCCGCCACCCACACCGGTGCACCATACAGCGCCATGGACCGGACAACCCCCGCGTACAGCCGCCTCGTGGGAACACTGGCCCCGCCCAAATTGGGCAAAAGTCGCCCTAGGGCGGAGGCAGTGTCCACCAGCTTCTGACCAAGCTGTCGGATATAAAGACTCCTAGTTTAAGCTGGGATACTATGTTGCTTTATACACGTGTTGAACTAGACTTGATTGATGACTTAGAAATATATCAAGTGTTAGAAAAGGGTATACGCGGTGGTTTAGCTCAGTGCTCATTACGCCATGCAAAAGCAAATAATCCCTATCTAACAGAATACAACGATCTAGAACCAACTAGCTATTTGATTTATCTCGATTGCAACAATTTGTATGGATATGCAATGACAAGAAAAATCCCAATTTCAGAATTCAGACTTTTAAATCAGAAGGAAATCAACTTTTTCGATGTAATGAGTGTTTCTGATGATAGCGAATATGGCTTCATTTTAGAGGTAGATCTCGAATATCCTGAATCAGTGCATGATTTTCATAGTGATTTGCCTTTTGCTTCAGAGAAATTCATACCCCCTGGAGGAAAGACAGCTAAACTCATAGCAAATTTATATGATGAATTTAACTATGTAATTCATTATATTCACTTAAAAGAGTGTTTAAAATACGGGTTAGTCCTAAGAAAAATTCACTGAATTCTTACTTTCCGACAGGAAGAATATTTGAAAAAATATATTGATTTAAATACTACCCTTTTTTTTTTTTTAACGTGTGGAAATCCCCTCGGACCGTCACCCCTCCGGGGTTTGCGGCGGGGTGGTGTGTCGGACTCGGACCGACTAAAACCACACGGTGTGCCACTCTGCGCCTGTAACAGGAGGGATCCGGGAACAGCTGTTGTTAAGACATCCGGACCCCTCCTAGCGCCAGCCCGCTCCTAATGCGGGCTACGTCTCAATATATTTTTTCCTCTCTTTAGGCGACGTCCGGCACACGCGGACGCCGCCCCCTCGCGGCTGGCCAAACTAATGCGGGTGGAGGGGAAACCCACCCCGTCCACCCGCGGCCACAGTCAGGGCGGCATGAGGCTGTGATAGGCGGGCCTCCGCCGCCCGGTTCGCCGGCGGCGGATCGGGTCCGAGTGGAGGTCGTCCTCCCGGGCCCTCTCCGCCGCCTCCTTCCGCGAGATTACTACCTCGCAGAAGGTTGCGACCGCGGTAAAACAACTGTCGCTACCGGCCATGGAGCGTACTACGGCCGGTAGCGAGAGATCCACCCCGATGACTGCAGTGAGGGCCCGGCGCTGCGCCGCCCATGCGGGGCAGACCGCCAGCGTGTGCTGGGCCGAGTCCTCACTGCAGTCGCAGTGGTGGCAGGCGGGACTCAGTTCCCTCCTAGCGACCGAGTGCAGGTACTTTCCGAAGCAACCGTGCCCGGAAAGCACCTGCGTCAGCCGGAAGGAAAGGGTCCCGTGCTGCCGCCCTGCCCACTCGGCGATGGAGAGCCTCCACGGCGGCGAAGCCAGCGCGTGGAGTCTCCAGCCGGAACGACCAACGAGCCATCGTGGCTCGGCGAGCGGCTTCGCGCCACTCGCGCACATCCTCGGGCGGA